TCCTGGCGGTGACTGCGGTGCTGTGCAGCCTCTGTCCCTGCGTCTGACCTGGTCCTGGCGGTGACTGCGGTGCTGTGCAGCCTCTGTCCCTGCGTCTGACCTGATCCTGGCGGTGACTGTGGTGCTGTGCAGCCTCTGTCCCTGCGTTTGCCCTTTTCACTACCGCATCCCCATGGTGCTGGCGGAGTGAGGCTATAACGTCCGCGTCTCCTGCAGGTCCTCCTCAACTGGATTAACGATGTGCTGGTGGAGGAGAGGATCATTGTCAAGCAGCTGGAAGAAGACCTGTACGATGGCCAAGTGCTGCAGAAGCTCTTGGGTGAGTCCCCAGCAGGGACAGCTCTGTCCCACCCCCCATATCCCTGCAGCAGCCCGGGGCTGGACCAGGATTCTCTGCATAGTGACATTGGTCACAGGTCCTAGGAAGACATTAAAAGCTGCAGTGCACGCCTCCCAGGTGGTGCCCCCAGGCCCCAGGCTGTGGCTTCAGCGTCCTCTGTCCCCTCACTGTTTCTACAGAGCACCCAGCCATGGGGCAGCAGGAGGCACAATCTCCAGAGCTGCCTGCGGCTCCCCTCCTGTTGGGCTCAGGCCCACTTTGTGTCTCACCCCTCTCCACGACCCCCTTTCAACTTGAGCTCCTTCATCTCTGGATGGGAGGCAGCAGGAGGGAAGCGGGTCCCCAGCAACATTCTGTGAGTGAATGTGTCACCAAATACATTTTTTGTATACTAAAAATGCAAAAAATTAGCCAGGTGTGGTGGTACACACCGATAGTCCCAGCTACTTGAGAGGCTGAGGCAGGAGAATTGCTTGAACCTGGGAAGCGGAGGTTGCATTGAGCCAGGATCACGCCACTGCATTCCAGCCTGGGCGACAGAGCAAGAATCTGTCTCAAAAAAAAAAAAAAAAAAAAAAAAAGTGAGTTCCCACTGATACCTCTAATTCCAGTTCAATGCTACAAGTTTCTCCCTTACCTGTCAGCATTCTCTATTCCAATCTCCAGGGTAAACCTTGGTTCCAGAAATATATTTGCTGTTTACTCTGATTGCATATAAAATAGTGTCAGAATTACGGTATCAATACCTCCGTCAACTACAAACATGCTAAGTACAAGATATTTTTCCATTATTTTTTAAGTATATGATATATCCACCAAGAGTATATAGTCAGAATTCTGTGTTCAGAGCTTAGCTGAATTATCTCCTGTTCTAGTGGTCATGTCATCCATTTGATGTATAAATAATTTGTTTCTGTCTGTATTTAGTTTTTGGGTATATGTTTGCATTTACTTTTATTTAATATTACTTTTAAAAATATGAAGCATTTATGTGCTTCAAAAGTCAAAACTAGGGCCGGGCGCGGTGGCTCAAGCCTGTAATCCCAGCACTTTGGGAGGCCGAGGCGGGTGGATCACGAGGTCAAGAGATTGAGACCATCCTGGTCAACATGGTGAAACCCCGTCTCTACTAAAAATACAAAAAATTAGCTGGGCATGGTGGCACGTGCCTGTAATCCCAGCTACTCTGGAGGCTGAGGCAGGAGAATTGCCTGAACCCAGGAGGCAGAGGTTGCGGTGAGCCGAGATCGCGCCATTGCACTCCAGCCTGGGTAACAAGAGCGAAACTCCGTCTCAAAAAAAAAAAAAAAAAAAAAAGTCAAAACTGTGAAAATGACATACCTTGAAAGGTCTTGGCCACGTGTGATGGCTCAGCCTGATAATCCCAGCACTTTGAGGGACTGAGGCAGGAGGATCACTTGAGCCTAAGAGTTTGAGATCAACCTGGGCAACATAGTGGGACCTTGTCTCTACAAATTACCAGACGTGTTGATAGGCAACTGTAGTCCCAGCTGCTTGGGAGGCTGAGGCAGGAGGATTACTTGAGCCTGGGAGGTCGAGGCTGCAGTGAGCCATGATTGTCCCAATGCATTCAAGCCTTGGCAACAGAGAGAGCCTGGAGGCGGGGGGGACGACTCACTGCTTTTTCTCCCACCTGTACACTCTCAGGTAACCATTTTCAATGGATTCTGATTTTATCCTTATGTTTCTTTACAAAAATGTCTGTACACACACCTACTTATTTCCCTTTCGTTCCGTGCATGAAAGATGGTATACACGATACATTCTTTGACGCACCTTGCTTGTTTCACTTAATAATATTTTCTAGGAATCCTTCCATGTGGAGATCACCTTTCTTTTTCTTTATTGTTGCATAGTACTTCGCCGTGTGGCTGTTCCTTAGTTTATTTACCCAATCTCCTGTATTGAACATTTTTGTCATTTCCAGTATTTTTCTATCATCAATAATATTATGGGAATATCCTCATGCAGATGTTGAAGAAACTAGAATCATTGACCTCAAGTGTAATGAGTGGTTTCCTTGAGCTCACCGCTGCAGAGGAGGGAATTCCCAAATTGTGAGATGGGTCACCACTCACCTCTGGCTTTCCCAGGTCTGTTGTGCCTTGGTTGATCTTTTCTGTATCCACTTTCTGTGTTCTCTGGACTGTTGAGTGTGCAGACACGATGTAATATTTCTGTTAAAACAATGGTCCCTTGCTCCTGCAACATTGCAGTTTCTCTGCGTCACACAAATGCACTGACCACTAGATTTGGCATTTGGTTGGTCACTGGTGGCCCGGATGAGAGCAGTTTCAGTGCAGTGGTGAGGGTAACATCCTGATCGGGGAGGGCTCAGGGGCAGAGAACTGTGCCTTTGAGGTGCATGATTTTGAGAGGAAGAGAGAGGAAGGGAAGTGAGACTCTTGTCGCTGTGGCTCCTTTTCTTTTTGAGACAGGATCTTAGCCCATCACCCATGCTGGAGTGCAGTGGTGCAATCACGGCTCACTGCAGCGTCCACTTCCTGGGCTCAGGTGATTCTCCCACCTTAGGCTCCCGAATGGCTGGGAGTACAGGTGCTCACCATCATGCCTGACTAATTTTTTGTGCTTTTGGTAGATACGTGGCCTTGCCATGTTGCCCAGGTTGCTCTTGAACTCCTGGGCTCCAGCAATCCACGCACCTCAGCCTCCCAAAGTGCTGGGATTACAGCGTGAGCCACTGTGCCCATCCATAGTAGCTCCTTTTCATGTCTGTCCACCGGGCACCATCCAGGCTGCCTGCTGAAATCACGTGCGTGGCGCACTTGGCACTGCACCTGGCACAGGTCTGTCGTCAATAAGCAGGAGTTGCTATTGTTATCGTTGTCATTTTCTAAACAGACAAATAAAAGCCAAGAGCAGAGCTGAGGAGCGTCTGGCTCCCTGCTGGTCCCCCACCCACTCCAAGTCCCTCGGGTGACTGGCACATGGTAAATATTTGTTGATTAAGTCCATGAAGAAAGCCCTGCAGTTTCATTACCTATGCATATTGTGGGGTCCTCTTGCGGGAAATGAAAACGGGACAGATAGATGAGTATTTGTCTGGATTTCTGGTCTTCAGTGCCATCCACAGACTCGGGAAGGGACCAGCTATTTGCTGAACAATCTTTCAGTTCTCACAGAGTTCTGATATGTTTTCAGGTCCCAAAGTGCCTGTGACAGTGGCCTCGAGAACTCAGTGTCCCCTTGTACCTGGGATAGCACACCTCTTAAAGATCAGGAGGAGATTCCACCCGTGTCATCCCCAGCACTGGTGGACTCAGCAGATCCTGTGTCTGGGGTTTCTTTTCTGCTCAACCTCCCCTGCTTTGATGGACTGCACAGACAAGCCCCATCCTGGTGGAAGGGTCTCCCCATGGGCCATCCTGGAGGGTCATTCCTTCAGGGCAGGGCTGGTGACTGGGGTGGGATCGTGTTTTTCTGCACTGTTGAGACAGAGGAATGACTGCTGCAGGGGATAGGTGGACGGCGCAGGGGCTGCTGAAGGATGTGAGTGGGTAGGGGGGTAGGGCGTGGTTCAGGAGAGAGAGAGACTGGGGGAGCCCCTGCCGGAAAAACCCAGGGGTTCAGCATCGGTAGTTGCCTCTGGACAGAGTTTGCACACTCTGTACAAAGGGCTCTTACAGATCAGTTCTTGGAGGGAAACTTCCTGGGCTTGTGACAAGTGGTGGGTGGGGTGATGAGGTGCTAGGGAGGCCATGTCCCATAACTCACTCTGAAGGACACAGTGATGCTTGGACCACGCTGTGTGTCCTTATTCAGCTGGCCCTCAGGAAGTACACTTGGAGGGAAACATGCCTGTGTTTGTTTTGGTCACACATTCATTCATTCTTCATTTGTCTGGTGGATGAGTGTTCATTGGCTGACATGTGTTGGGTGGGTCTTGGCTCTGGAGACGCAGTCGGAAACAAGAGAGATGAGCCCCCTACCCCACCCCCGTCCACTCCACCAGCACACAGTCTAGCAGAGCGAAGAAAGGGAAGTATTATGGGGCAGGGTGGTTCCACCTGAGACGTAGATGTTTTAAGGGAGTGACAAGTGCTAGGAAGACAGTAACAGAAGACTGGGGGGTAGAGTGGTGGGTGGGGATGGGGCGAGCAATCCAGGGCAGCTCCTCTGGGGAGGCGACATCTGACCACACGTCTGCACAGTGAGCTTGGGAAGGGCGTTCCGGGCTGAGGCTGTAAAGCGAGAAAGAGCCTGCTGTCTTGGAGGGGCAGTGAAAGGAGGTGGAGGCGGGGCTGAGATGGCAGAGAGGGAGGGAGAGAGCCAAGAGAGGAGGCTGGGGCCAGATCTCATTGAGCCCTGCGAGACAATAGCCTTTGTTCCAGGTGATAGGAAGCCACTGGAGGTTTTGAATAGGGCTGTGACGTGGACTGGGTTAGAGTTTAAAAGGGCACTTGGGCTTCTGGGTGCAGGGTGCGTGGGGAGGAGAGTCAGGAGTTGGAGCTGAGAGGTCAGTCGGGACACCACTGCCACGGCCCAGGCATCTGATGAGGTGGCTCAGCCCCCAGAGTGGAAGGGCAGACATAGGGATGTTCTGTGCAGTTAAATTGTCAGAGGAATCAAGGCTGATGGCCAGGTTTGTGGCATGAGCGACTGGCAAATGGGAAGCTGTTGGGAGTAGGGTGGGAGGTGGAGAGGGTGCAGGTCTGTGTTGGACATGCTAGGGCTGAGATGCCTGCCCTCTTGGAGGTGATACTGGGCGGCTAAGCCTGGAATCCAGGCTGCAGTGTACATCTGAAGCCAGCAGCACTGAGCTGATGTTTAGTGCCATGGGACCACACGGTTTCATCACCTAGCGAGGGTGTTCCAGATTATGTTTGGCCAAATGCTAAATGGCCAAGAATTAACATCTATATTTGGCTAAGGTGAGAATCCCCATCTCAGAATGAGCTCCCATGATACAAGAATAAATCTGAAACGTTCATCAAGAT